GAAGAAGCTGGGCTGAACGGACGTTACCTGCGGGGTGAATATGTACTTGTAGAGTCTGTCGTGCCGCAGGTAATGGTCCTGGATGTAATTTAAAACGCAGTTGACCTCATCCAGGCTGAACAGCTTGACGCTGAAGGGAGGTCTCTGGTGGAAGAGAGACGAGCGCATGAGGAGGCGACGCGGCGGTGAGATAAAAGTTCAGCTGCGACTAAAACAGGCCTGTTGGTGACACACACCCTGACCGAGTGACACAGCAGGAGGTCGTTGCAGTACTTGAAACACTGCTCAGAGTTGTTGAGAGGAGTTTCTGCAAAATGAAGAAGAATATTTCCCTTTACTTAAAACTAATCTAAAACCTCATCAGACCGAAATATAAAGTTAAGTGGAAATTACAATAATTCATATAAGTTACAAAAAATAAAATCAGGCAAAATAAATTTTTTCTAGATCCGTTACTTTCAATAAAAAACTGATTAAACTTTAACAGAAACTGCAGGTGTGAGTNTGTCTGGTGAATTTCTGGTTAAAACATTTTAGCTTTTTATTCAGTGGGTAGAAAATCCAGAAATTTCACGCAAGTAAAAGTAAAAATACTTCATAATAAAATTACTCAAGTAAAAGTAAAAAGTACAGCGTGGTAAAAATACTTCTAAAAGTACATTTTTCAACAAAAGTTACTCATTTCTACCCAACTCTGGTTATAAGACAGATAAATGGTTTTCCTGTAAGATAAGTTGTCTCTCGCCTTTAGCACGTTTAGCAACATACAAGGATGACTGACAGCGCTAAGCTCCGCCTCCTGGCTCTGATTGGTTGTTTTTGGTGTATTTCTTCAGAGAGGAAGTGGATTGGAGCGATCTTTTCACAGATTATCTGACTCATCACAAACCGTCACGATATGGAGACACTTCTAACCAATACAACATATTTTAAAATAAAAGTTACAAACTGCACTATTTTCAGTGGATATTTAACCTAAAATATGCGGTACAGTGTATGTAATGCTTCATAATAAAAACAGCTGAGCTTTGCTCACCTATGTTGGCCTCATGGATGGATTTGATGATGGAAACCAGTGCAGACGTCTGCGCCTTACTGAAGCCCTGCTGCCTGCAGAAAAGCACCGTTTGGACGTACAGCTCTAGCAGGACTGCTTTCTTTGGCTCTGGGAGGTCGACAGCCAACACGCTGCACAGGGCACTGCCACAGACCAGAGGGAGAGCCGGTTAGAACATGGAGCCTCTCAGGCATGCAGGAGCCAAAGGACCGAAAACAGAAACACCTTTCCAGATCAGGAACCGACTGGATTTGGTCAATAACCTCCATGTCGTGGAAGCTGATGTCTGTCCTGGGAAGAACAAATCCCGGGTTAAAACCTGACGTTGGGCGATTTTTGGTGTAGATAAACAAAAATGCAATGAGATGTCACCATAGCAACAACTTTGCTGTCAGGTCCCGAGGTACCTATGGAGAACAGGAATCTGTTTTTATTACCTGGGAAAATTAAACTAAGCTAAAAATAATCATGGAGAAACACAGTGTCTCTGCTTATTTCTATATGCATTGCATCATATTTTAGGTATTTTGGGGCCCTACTTTAACTTGTAAGTAGTTTTTTTTTTAATCATTTTTGATGAAAAAACTCAATTAAAACAAAAGAACTAAATAATAATTAAAAATAAACGTACAATTAAGATAATAAAGCAGCAGCCAGCTGGCTACGTGAGGAGCTTACCTTAATACTAGTGTCCATTTTATTTCTTTAGTTAACAAACTGCAACAATTCAGAACTAAAAACAAAAAAACCTGTTAAATACTTATTTGCTTATAAACTTAAAGTGACCGTTTAAGATGTCAAAAAACGAAACACAGGGTTTGGTAAATGTTAAATATTAGGTTTAGAGGATCTAAAACAGACTGCAAAGCGACTGGCACGCATCTGTTTGAGTCAGTGGTAACCTAGCAACGGCGCAAAGTCAGCTTCCGGTTTCCGGTAAATAAAACTGTTCCCCCAAAATATTAGCATGGAAAGAAATAACAGTATAGTTTTATGTAAGTAGACACACAAAGAAATTATGAATAAACACGACGAGGAACAAACATATCCACCACAGAGACCACCGTGCTCACTGCTGCTAGCAATTTGAGTCCGTGGTAACCTAGCAACAACGGCCAGCCAGTTTCCGGTTTCCGGTCTAGCCTAACTAAAAACTGTTCCCCCAAAATATTAGCATGAGAAAAATTAACATCATAGTTTCATTTAAGTAAATAATGAATAAACACGATGAGGACGTAATATCCACCACAAAGATCACCATGCTAATAACTGTTAGCCATCTGAATAAATAAAAATATTTTTTATTGGCGCCCCAGACAATGTTCAAAGGGGTGGCCAGAGCAGGTCATGAAAAATGCTAATGTAAACAATAAAAACACATTTTAAAGAATCAATAAAGCAGAACCGTGTATGAAACCAGTGGTGGCCCCAAGGGATGGCCAGGCGGGGGCCATGGCCAAAACGGGTAAAATGAGAATCATGTTTAGTTAATGGAAAGGTCATTACATAATCATCACACAGAGTGAAGTATTTCCAGGCTTTATATCTTGTAACTTTGGTGATTTTGGCTTACAAAGAATGAAAATATTCAGAGTCTCTGAAAGCTGAGTGGAAGGAAAAATGTGAGATAAGTGAAGGATAAATGCTGTGTTTAAAAGATTTTGAAGCACAATCCAGGTACGATCATCAATCACAATCCAGGATCATCAGAAAACATAACATCCAGAACCAGAATTCAGGGATGAGTCTGAACTCTGGAGGAGCTGCACAGATCCACAGCTCAGGTGGAACAGTCTGTCTGCACGACTATTACCTGTAGAATCCACTAATCTGGCTTTTATGGAAGAGTGACGAGAAAAAAAAGAAGCATAAGAGTTTAAATTGCAGTTAAAAAGAAAAAAACCAAGGCAGAGAGAACCTGTCTGCATGGCGGTGGCAGAATCATGATGTGGGAATGCTTTAGATCAGCAGATTCCAAAAAATCTCATTAAATATAAAATTCAAAAATTCATTTATTGTAACTTTTTTCTCCCTTTTATTTAGTTTGACCTGCTCAAAAATGAACAAAACTTTTATGGAATCTGTAAATCGCTGAAAACATAAAAAAGGCTTTTGTTTTTCCTTTTTTCATCAAAAAAGAAAAACAGATAATTGCCACAAGTTTCTGGTTCAATTCTTTTCTATTTTGCTGGCCAAGTTTTTTTACTATGATCAACTTGTCATAAGTGGATGAAAAAAATAATTCTTAGGGCCACAAATGGCCCCTAGACCACAGTTTGGACACCAACTTAAACTGGATTTTTAAACTCAGAATCCAGTTTAAATAAGTAAACCTCAGGTAGAAACATGCACATGAGTTTCGTTTCTAATGACCTTTATTACACTTTAAAATACCAAATATTACTTTATTTGATAAAAGCAGAAATTTGACTCTCTTTGGTTTCGCAGTAAAAACATCTCATGTTTTCACAGGTCACTGATTATTTTTTCTCTTACTACCATTTGTTATCAGGCAGATGTTCCTTTAAAATCCTTGTTATCAGTGTGATAGCAAAGCGCTTCATGTCATCCAGACGCGTCATATCAGAGTTTCACCACCACAGATGAAGACGTTTTTTAAAAAACTCCTGCTATCAGATGTTGCAGAGCCGCTCGGTGCCGAAGATCAACACATCTCTGGTTGCGCAACATAAATATTTCCATCAGCGCTGCAGGCCAGGAGTCGAGCTGCTAATTAATAAAAACAGGTTGTAGTTCTGCTGCGGCGAGGCCAGATGAGATGTTTCTGACAACCCAACCCAAACGCAGCAGAGATGACTGTTATCGCTTTGACCTTTGACCTCACAGCAGCAGAATGCGTTCAGCTCTTCTGAAAGCTGCTGTCAGGTTTTTATTTTCCTCCAGATGGTCGTTCTGAATCGTTTGGTCGTTTTCATGGTGTCGGTCTCATCGAACGCTGCAGCTGAAGATCTACAGAATCAGAGGCGCTAAAGGAAGCCGTGGGCCTCGGGGGTTTTTATCTGAGCATCGCAGCATCGCAGCAGCAGCAGCGCCGCAGCGCCCAGCCCTGCTGCTGCTGCAGCGTTGCACAACAGCTCCTCTGTTCCTGCTGCAGCAGCCACCGAGGGGCCGACAACACCCAAACTGAGGGAAACTGAAAAATATTTAGATTATTTTTACGGTTTAAAAAGCTGCAGACAATAAGAGAAGATCTGAAAGTTCATCTTTGTAGTCAGATCAGAGTTAGGAAGAGCAGCCAATCACTTCACTGAAGTAAAAATAAAAAGGTAAAAAGTTCTGAGTAACCGATCAAATGATCAATCATCTCATATTTAAAAATGATCATCAGACAGACCAAACTATACAGGATGTTTGGTATTTTAATGACCAAAATGACAATAATGGTTACTAATTGTAATCTCTGGTTGCACAACATTTACATTTACTTAAATAGTGTTTTCGAAAAAAATTACATTTAGGAGTATTTTTACTACGCTGTGCTTTACTTGATTAATTTTATTATAAAATCTAAATTTATTATGAAGTTTAAATGTATATTTATCAATATAAATTTTTATTTTTATATATGTATATGCTAGCTTCGGGCTCTTGCCGTCTGGTGATGTGCATATGCTTTGGGCCGGCTCTGATGAGCCTGACTCTAGAATTAGATCTATTCAGGCTAATTCTATGATTTACAATTTATTTTAAATTTATAATTCATAATTAGATTTTCTGAAGCATTTTCTGGTGTTTATGTTTCAGGTAAACTTAATGTTTTTGTTCTATTTATTTCCATTGGCTGTTATTCTGACTGAACAGATTAAAGTTGATTTTCCATGTTTCAGCGCTGAACTCCTGCAGAGTTATCAAATAAATTTATGATTCAGTTCATCTGTTTGTGCTTAAAAAAAGAAAAGTTTTAAGCTGCTGTTTTTTTATCGATCGGCCGATAGTAAACCTCAGATATCGGTATCGGTATCAGAAGTGAAAACAGCAGATCGGTGCGTTCTGAAACAAAGTTACGTTTTCTAGCAGAAAATCAGTTTCTGTGATTAAACCTGTTAAATTTTTACAGTTTCCTCCAGTGGAAAGTGAAACGACGCTCAGCGCTGGCTGTTTGCTTCTTCAGATGGTAACATCTATCGTGACACGTTTCGTTTCATCTCTGCATGTTTATCAGCGCAGTGATCAAAACCAGCCTCACCACATGGTGAATATGGCATGAAACCGTCCGTACAGTCCCACCAACAGAAGCATCCATGATTCACAAACATTCATCTAATGAGAGAAACCCAGCAGCCTGGATGTTCACTGATGAAGTCAGGCTTTGCTGCTAAACCTGAGGCTCATTTTACACTTCAGCTGCTTTTAGAATAAAACAACAAAACAAACAACATCCTCTTTGAGTGAAGCAGGTGATTGGTGAGAAACGGATCCCGCCTCTTTCTGTTTGCTTTAAAGCTGCTGCTGCAAACCTCAGAGAGCGCAGAGATCTCAGCCGGCGCCGGCACAGCGGCTGATGATGATGATGATGATGATGATGGAGCGCCGGCCTCCTCTGAGGATGAAGCTGCTGATCCTGACTCTCCTCCGCTCCACCTGGTTGCTAGGAGACCCGGCTGCAGGTTTCACTCTGTTTACTACCAACAGAAAAACTTCATTAGCTTCAGCAGATCAAAGTTTTAAAGCTTTAAAAATTAGATTTCATGTTTTATGAGAAACTAATGAACTGTTTTCTGCTAAAAACACAAATTTTAAAAAGTATTTCTGATCTAGTTTCTAAGTATCTTCAATAAGACAAAATGGAGAAATATTAGTTAGTTTTAAGTCAGTAATTCCTCAGTAATAGCTCCAGTTCCACTGGCAGATAATTACACTTTAAAAATGTTTTTCCACTGTAAAAAATGAAATAATCTGCCAGTGGAACTGGAACCTTTTGATCAGTTTTAAGTAATTACTGATTTAAAATGCTTTTAGCTTAATTTTTTTAATATTTCACACACTAAATGTACTTAAAAAAGCATTAATATGCAATTTGGAGGCCGTTTTAGAAGCTAACACTCAGTCTTCCTTATCAGCACTGCAAAAACACAAAGTCTTACCACATAATGTTAGTCTAGTATCTACTGCAAACATCTCAGCACAATAAAAATAAACAAAATAAACTTACAAGTAGCTTTTCAGTAAGATACAGGAGCTTGTTTAGAGTTAATAATTCTTTAATATTGATTATAAAAAGTTCTGGTTCCACTGGCAGATTATTTCACTTTTAAGATTATATATTTTCCATATTATAAATGAAATAACCTGCAAGCAAAACCAGTCATTTTTATCAATATTAACAAATTATTGACTTAAAACAAGCTCCCGTTTGTTGAAAATGTAACGTAATTTTGTCGTATTTCAGGCGCACTGAGATGCGTCCACTGAACTAAACCAGAGTTTGTTTTTACAGTGCGTTTTACTGGGGGGAAAAGCACAAATCCTGAACTTTGAAACTTTTGTAATGTTTTGTTCCGATCAGATAAAACAAGCTGCTTTAACTGGTGAAACTTCATTTTTTAAATTATTTTTGTTTTATTTCAAGATATTTGCACCAGAAATTAGGTCAAATATTCTTGGATTAATTTTTTTTTGCACTTTAGCTGTTGTTTCCTCTTCAAATGAAGAGAATCTTAGTAAAAACTGAAACGGTGGCTGTAAAGGCCCCTGGGGGCTTTGATAGTTTGATCTTGTATTATTTTTTCTGAGCAGTGGCTGTGAACGTCTCGGCGTCTGACTTTTCACACGTCTAAAGCCTCGGTCAGGCAGAATAAAACACTTTGGTCTATTTCAGACAAATATAACAACGCACAGCTGAAACAAAAACAAACTCAACCCAGAAATTATTAATAAATCGCTCGGTTACAACGGCTCTAAAATCCTCTCAGCGTTTCTGTGTCTGACGTCAGAAACTGAAACAAACAGAAGATGAGAAGAAAATGGTGATAAAATCATGTTTCTGGTATTTTACTGAAGTTTTAGCACCATTTAAAAAGTATTTACTGGATTTATTTTGTTTTTATTTTGTCACTTTAAATCAACAACCCAACTCTGACTGAGTTTCAGACCATAAAAAAATAACCTGAGTGACTAAAAACAGCAGATTCACAGCAGACTGTGTTAAGTCATGACCTTTGACCTATGCTGAGGCATTAGGCCTGCAGAGCTTCAGATGTTGCTTAAAGATCTGAAACATGAGGCAAAAAAGCTTAAAACAAAAGAAATTAAAGAAATGGAGCGAAAACTTTACTTCCTGTTCGTCAATTTCAGCAACATTGAACCGAGTTATAAAAGCTAAAATCCACTTAAAACTTCCTCTGAAAACACTTCTAAATGTAATATTTTAAACACCAACATCAATCAATCAATCAATCAATCAATCAATCAATCAATCAATCAATCAATCAATCAAATTGTATTTGTACAGCACATTTCAGCAGCAAGGCATTTCAAAGTGCTTTACATAACTAAAATAAAAACAGCATGTAATAAACAGTGAGAAAGAGATTTTGAAAAAAAAAGATAAAAACATTAAAACCCCTTTTAGGACTTCAGTTAAACGTCGTTTAACTGGGGCTCCAACCCTCTGGGACTTTAGTCAAAAACACCGTTTGACAAGGACTCCAACCTCTAGGTTTTAGTTGAAACGCCGTCAACTGGGACTCTAAACCCCGAAGGACTTTAGTTAAACGTCGCTTAACTGGGACGTTTTCCGGGGGGCTTTACATCATTAACACGTAGATAGTGAGAAAGAGAAATAAAAAGAAATTAATAAATAGAAAACATCAAAGACATCAAAACCCGCACTCTAACCCTAATTTAGCCATAAGCAACTCTAACCAGGTGGGTTTTAAGTTGAGATTTAAAGGCTCTCAGTGTTTCAGCTGTTTTACAGTTTTCTGGAAGTTTGTTCCAAATCTGTGGTGCATAGAAACTGAATGCTGCTTCTCCTCGTTTGGTTCTGGTTCTGGGGATGCAGAGCAGAACCAGAAGTTTTGGCACATCCACACATTTATCTGTTCTAACCATCTATTC